AAGGATGTGAACAAATGAATTCTGACTGAAATATAAGATGAAACAGTTGTTTAGTTTCCATTAATTCCTAACGATTATCCGTATAACTTCATGCCGTCAATAATACAACTTTAGAATTGTATAAAACCACCCCCAAGAGCCAAGGTAGACTGAGTTTGCCATTGTAATCAAAAATGGATCCGCATGTATAGCCACTGTCAGGAAAGTCATATTCACAGGCTTATCGTGATAAGGGTGTTGTTCACGAAATTAAGAAAAATAAAAGTGAATGTCTGGCACTTTAGCCAGATCCGTGTGTAAAGGGGATTCATCTAAGGGAGCTGAAAAATCCTCATTCCAAATCAATTGTGCATATGGGCTCAAGGATACTGAGACAAATCGCGTGTGAACCTACTTTTGGTCACTGGTTACCATGAGACCGCATCTCCAAACGATGCTCTACTTCCTTGCGGACAAGACCCCTGGGTCAAAGCCTCGGCGAGTGGTGTCCAAATAAAACCCCCTGCTTCAGTTTGGGCATCTAACCGGTTTCCTAGCTAACTCAAAAATTCAATAATTTGTGAGACATGGCGCATATTTACGTGTCCCTTTATACCAATAATTATGTATTTGAATATAACTATACCAAAAACTTCCGCCATCATAATAAACCAGTATTAAACTGTCATTTAAAACGGATCAATGAGTAGCAATTTCACATCTGGTAATATATGAATCGAACTCCAACGACATTAAGCATACCGGTTCCCGTTGCGTTAACACGTCTTATAATTACAAATTGTTGGAAATTGGATTATTACCTTAATAGTAGACCCGTATCGACAAAAAGTTAAACTTTCAAGTTAAGACTCCGTATTTTCAAATCCCGCAAGGACAAATGACTTCGGCTATATTGAAACCAGCAGTTCGGATGGCTGGTGTCCAAGGACAACCTAAGAAATCAACAAACATTTACGCACTTCTTACCAGTTGGTTGAAGTGGTAACTCCTAATTTACCTTCCCAATTGTTGGAGCCTAGGTTAAGAGCTACCAAGATTATAGTTCAAGTTTCGATGAAGAATATTCTTGTTTGCGTATATTCTTGCATTCAGTATTGCCTTGTTCTTCTAAAGTGCGTAACTAGACAGAAATAATTAATAGCTTTGTATGTCAACATGACTAAATATGAATACCTACACATATTTGTTATAATTTGGGCATGAAATCCACTTTGAACCACACTTTTTATTTCTTTTTCGAGAGTTAACGGTGCTATCTAACTGTTTAAACATGAGTAGGAGAGGGATTAGAACAGGAGACATAAAAGTTGGACATCCAGTGTAATGAACTCTAAGCTAATGGGGATAAACAAATTGAGCGTAGAATTTTTGGGTAAAAGACAACATGTAAAAATAGTGAAAAATTTCCAATAATATCACCACCCAAACCACAGAAATTAATCAAAGAATATTGTGATGTGGTCACAGAAAAATGAACAAAACATTCGGATATGTATATTCAATTGGACCTTTTGATTTTTTTCTACTGGAGAGAAGTAAGAAGAAATTAAACGACAGCCCTAACAATGAAATGAAACTATGTTGATAAGGGGGTTGCATAATGAAATACTAAATAATTACGTATATGAATTGAGAACAAATAAGGACAATGAGGTCAGTTTTGGCAAAAAAAGTATTCGTATTTATGTGTGCGTTAGTGAGTGAATGAAGACAAGAAAGTGAAAGATTCAAAACCCTAAAGTCTATAAATAATAGCAAGTAAATTGATGGCATCTCAACAGATAGAAATATGTCACCTTAAATCTTCTTCTTTTAGTGAAGAGAAGGAAAACAAATAAAAGGGAATTTTATTTTTGTTTAAATTGTACTTTCAAACAATATTAACTATACAGCTGTTCACAAAATGATAAACATCTTATTACAATGAGTGGGCAGATGAATAAGAATAATCGTAGGCAGAAGAATAATTAACATTGTGCATATCAATGAATTTTTAGCGTATAGTTAGTATATGGAATTTTTCCTGCATCAATGTATCCTATGTGAACTATCGATTTGAAAACTACGCATATTTTCACAACATGCATTAACTAACTGCCTTATAAGGTCATTTATCCGTTTGCCCAATGTAAAAATTCTGTTTCCTCTGAAAATATTACCACCTTAAAGTTAAATAATTTTGACAATCGGTAAAAAAAACTGATTTCATAACATTAATAGTGTAGACTTGAATTGTGTTATGTCACTTTTTTCTAATCTATCTACATATAAGCTATCGATTTTGTCTCATCATCGGAACTGGTTTATACATCGTGTTGATCGAATCCTGTTTATTTTTAAAAAAAAGCTTCACAAATCGCATCGACAATTAATCACAATTAGTCTGTGAGAAACACTATCAAATGGACATCCAACAGTTTTTCAGTTATTGCAGCAATCTATGAGTATAATCCTTACAAATTATACAAGTGACAAGTTAGAATTAGGAAAGAAGTGAATTTCTGACAAGGTCATACTCTAAATATGATTTGTTACACAATAACATAACAAAAAGTAGATTTGTGTAGAAGTTTTTAACAGGTTAAAATCTGTAGGCAAATCGATCAGCTGAACTTTCACAAACGTTTGCATTTAACATGGATTCGATTTGATGCTAATTATGATGCATCAAATAAAATGATCAAGAACTCACTATAGTATTAATAATTGATACTCTGTCAATATGAACTTTTAGTGCAACAAAAAAGCGATACTAATCGATTGCAGAACACTAGGAAAATTTATCTACGACCATAGAAGAGATAATAGAACTTATTCGATAAAGTGTATGGTTTAAAAATGAGCCACAGTTATAGTTCTTGAAGATGAATCATACAGTAGGATATGTAATAACATTTTAACTTTATTATTTTTAGTGCACTTAGAAAATTGTCTCTGAAATACTATCACAAACGGCTGTTCGTAAAAGTATAATTAGTCAGCTTCCTAATGGGATTCACAACCTGATTTCTTTTGCAAGGAAAAGCCTGTTATCTCAGAAAACTGCGTCATAATAATAAACTAATAATATTTAAGGTAGATATTCTTTGATCTTTGCATGAAATATAAGACGTTGTGATAACTAGATTGTACCCTACTTAGCACCAAGTAGTACCTACCCATATTTAGTTGTTCAGACGCTTAAAATCAATGAACATATCAATCAAACAAGCATACAGTAAATATGATATGCTATCAAAGCGAAATTACCAGGAATACCTGGAGATTATATTTAGAACGTCAAGTATACATCACGTGTGATCCACAGCATAATCCATGGGTTTGCGTCGGTTCTAACAAAGCCCCCAGTACACTATGACTTCATCGACAAAGGAAAAGTTCAATACTTTCGATTGGTTTCGCCATTCTATAATGAATAAACCATTTATGAAACCTGTAATATGATTGGCTAATAACTGTAATTTGATAAGTTCGTCTTCAGACTTGCTTCAGGTCATCAGAATTGTATAGCACTGTCTGTTTTCTTCTTAAGGGTTAATGGTATTATTGACTAGTGACAATAAACTTCATCAAAAACATGTGAGTACTGAGACAAACGAAATACGACAGAAATTTTGTTAAAAATTACCTAACATGGTTTAAAAGAATTCGCAAGTAGGTGATACCGAAATTCAGAACATGGGCTAAACCCTACTCAAAAGCTTTAAATTGAATATAAATTAGCAAATCAGTTCAAGTAACTAATATTAGCTTCATTGGTTCAAGTACAAATTAGGGCTTATTTTATCCTAGAATTTTTTTCTTTGATTGGACTGATTCGACATTCATAAGCCGAACAGTTGTCATTACATAAACACAAAGCTACATATCAGGACAAAAATCAAGCCACATCTACCAGTTAAATGTCTCTAGGAACAAAAACAAGGATAATAAATAGATGAGGACGAAGTAATAAAACTTAAATCAGATATATTATCACATGACTCAAAACATTTTCCTACGATGGAAATTTTTTACTATAATCCAAGTAACAGTTAATTATTACATGCGTACAAGAAAAAAAGTGAAAAAAGAAATGTAAACACATGAAAAAGAGAATATGTGAACTGAATAAATTCTCAAAAGAATAAAAATAAACCGTCTTTTGAATGAAACAGATAATCAGTTAAGTCTATGATGATCACAGTTCCTAAACAGAAGCTAAGATTATGTACTGTCCAAGTTACTTTCCAAGGTCAACTGAACAAAAAATCAATGAACAATGCGTAAAATTGACAGCCACTACATACAAACAATTAGCTGCGATTTTTTCAAGGAAAAGTAAACAACAATGCAATTAGTCAAATAAACATTTGATTATTTCTTGTTACTGGATTGTTCAATTTACAATCATTATGTTATAGATTTATTCATAAAATATTGACCATTAAATCATGCGCAGTATAATATAAACGCCATAATTAATAGACCTGCAAAAATAATAAATATCAATTGTATCCTAATAAAAAAACTGTGTGAATTACAGAAAATGTTATAGTCGAATAAAAGTAACTAAAGAATAGTAAAATTAAAAAATAATACTGGAAGTGTTAAACTAAATGAACACGAGAAGGGATAAACTAAAAATTGTATTAAATAGTAAGAAAACGGTGATTGAGAGGTTCATACGCTCAACTATTACTGGATCTGATTGTGTAAATTCTAATCCTCTGAACTCCTCAACACCTATATCGTTCTCTTTTTAAATTTATTTCACTGGATTATACATCTCCAGTCATAACTTCAATCCCTAACCTTCTCCATTACTGCTAATACTGCTACTACCTCTACTAATATCGAATTTGAGCTGGCAATTGAATCTCTCTGTGATAATGTGATGTAGCAACTTGAACTGATGTATTTACGCACGAAGTTCTACGTTATAACACTCCATTTTTCAGTCATACATGAAAATTAAATTCATTAAACTGAGTATTTTCATAATAAAGTTTATAACTCACTTATATTCGGATGATTGAGGCTTTTTAAAACACGAACTTCACGAAAAAGCTGTAAAAAAACAATAAACGGAAAATGCAAAAAGATTAGATAACCAGTAAATGAAAGGATACTACAGTAATTTAGCTATTAAAACAAAATGTTATTCTGACTGAAAATACTGATGTTTCGGTCAACTGACATACACATAAAATGTGACAGTCTCAATATCAACCACAGTTTATTTCAATTTAATGTTTAATATATGTTCATTTTGGAGATCTAAGGAAGAACGGTGGTGAAAGTAACAAATGTACGTACTAAATAACAATAAAAGTGTCTTAGCTAGAAATAGAATTAACCTAATAACAATAAATTTTGTGGACAAGTCAAAAGATACAAAGTCAAGAATATACGATGAATATTTAATAAGTAATTAATGTCAATGCAAAGAATCGGTCACTAATAAAATATGCAAAAATCAAAAAATTATGTTTTATAAAAATTATGAGATTAATAGCATGAAGATGAAAAGCGTTCAACTAAAACAAGCGTTAAAATAATAATTAGTGAGTGGTCATAAAGGTAATAATCAAATCCAGACAAAATTTTATAAACCAATAAGAGATTTTCGAAACAATTCCATGTCAATCAATCAGTTACAACGTAGAACTTCGTACATACGTATATAAGTTCATTTCGCTATACCACATTAACAAAAAGATGCAATTTTCACTTCAAAATCACATAGTAGTAGAGGTAGTGAAGTATTAGCAGTAATCAGAGAAATTACGGTTCGATGATATTATTCAAGAAGTAGAATCTCGTGAAATAAACTCAAAAGCAAAAGATAAAGGTGATGAGGAATTCAGAAGGTTAGGATTTGAAAGAACACAAAGAACGAATGCACCAGCGTCATTAAAAACGATTTTGAGCCATGTCAGTCAGCGTCTCTAACCATCTACTACTATCATCTCGCGGACCTACGCCTACACCGCGAAACATTGCTCCTCGAGGCAGTCGGTGGTTGGGCATAGGCAACACATGTCGCAACCACTTCAAATGATCAAGTTTATATACTTAATGTATTGATCTGCCATTCTTATCTAATAATCGTTTCCTAACTATAGCATTGTTTACTAGACTGTCCCAGGATGTACGAGCAGTGCTTCGAAGACATCTATTAACGAATACCGTCTCCAACTCCCACGGTGAGGCCTCTTGAAAAGCGGAGCTAACATTTTACAAACCTCCCATAAAAAGGCCGCACGTGACCGGCCTCAAGCAGTTGTCTCTTGAACTCTACAGTCACCCTCCCAGGTCTCTGTGACCAAGGCTAATCTACCTATCTTTTCAGATTCCTGAAGAAACACCCTTCCACGGTGTGGGCAGCCGGGAAGTGACAACCGCCCTCATACCCATAAAAGCACACGAGACCAAATTAGTCAAAATCAAATCCTTCCTACACCACCTAATACCTCTCTTATCTCCACGACTAACTCTTCGCATTTTCTTTTATCACACTGCACAGCTGATGCAAACGATGCGAGTTCACGAAACGTCATTTCTGATCTCCTGAAAACACGTTCTAGACTACATGTCGGAGATTTTAATGTACGGACATTATGTCAAATAGGGCAACAGGCTTCGTTAGCTAGGACATTAGAATCTCGCGCCATCGACGTATGCTGTGTCTCGGAAACGCGCATACAGGATCCTAGTAAAGTCATTAATCTGATTTCGCCTTGTCAAAATAAAGAAACAGCCTGATTTACCCTTCGTGTATCCGGTAGGCCTGATGCTGCTTCTTGGGATCTCGCTGGCATAGGTATAGCGTTGAGTCCTAGGGCAGAACTTTCTCTCCTAGACTGGATCCCAGTAGATAGTCGCTTGTGTGCTATCCGACTAAACGAGACAGTAAGGACTCACCGTGGCCTCTTCGTCAAATATGCCTATGCTCCCACTGACTGCAGTCCAGAAGAGGTAAATGATGAGTTTTACAGAAAGCTTTCGGACCTACTCCAAAACGTTAGGCACTCTGATGTAGCGATAATGGCTGGTGACCTTAATGATCAAGTAGGTATACTAAGTGAGAAGGAAAGACACCTGGGTGGATGTTATGGTGTCGCGGACGAAAGAACTGATAATGGCAACCGTCTGTTGCAAATATACTCAGATAACTGCCTATTCCTAGCAAACACTAACGTTAAGCATAAGGAAAAACATCTTTTGACCTAACGTTGGACCCAACTAGATCATATCGCCATCAGCCACTGATGGAGGGGTCCGATAGAGGACTGTCGTTCGTTCTGGGGCAGATGTCTAGATTCAGATCCTGCCCTAATGCGAGCACGCATTTGTTTGTGACTTACCGGACGTAGGAAAAACAGCACAAGGAAACCTCTTAAGGTTCTATCTAATGATAGCAAAGCTATAAATATATTTCAGGAGCAACTAGAAAAACAGTTAGGCGACCATGTGATCTCCATCCGGGGGCAGCTTGGAATGATATTCGAAAAGGCAGTGGAAACAGCAGTGATATCTGCAAGTAAGGTAAACCATATGGCTAGGAAGAAGCCGTTGATCTCTGTAGCATCTACCAAACGGATGGACGCACGTAAACTCATCCTGCCTGGCTCTGAGGATAATGAAGAGCGAAGTCAGCTTCAGAGCAGGATGATAAAAAGCCTGCGGAATGATCGCGAAGAGTGATGGGTGGCGAAGACAGCGGTGGTAGGCAACAGCAGACAGTTGTTCCAACTTATCAAGGAAACCGGTATTAGCAATTCGAATGTGAGTGAGACTATCTCGATAAAGGATGGTCTTATTATGCATTCTCAATCCAGGAGACTGGATCGATGGGTAGAACACTTTAGGGATCAGTTCAATTGGCCTTCAGCCACACTTCGGTTACCCACGATCTCCAGTCATCCTGAATGACAAGTCGACGTAAGCCCTCAGAAGCTTTATGAAATTGAAAAGGCTATAGGAAATCTGAAGTAAAGGAGAGCAGCAAGACTTAGTAGATTAACCCCTGAGATTTTTAAGGATGACAGTCCAGTTTTAGTAGCTAGATTGACAGAGAATATAGGTAGAATCTGGAAACCGGACGCAATACCATCTGACTGGTCTCAATCACTGATTATCCCAATCTACAAGAAAGGACAAAAGTCCTATTGCGACAATCACATACGAATCAGTCCAACTAATATAGTATGTAAAATATTGGCCTCAATAATACTCCGACGCTTAAGGTAAGCTCGCGAAGAGCAGACTATAGAAAACCAAGCTGCTTTCAGACCTGAACGTGGCTTTATAGACATCTTCACATTACGTCAGGTCCTAGAACAAAAACACAAGTTCAGACGTCTCACAGTTGTAGTATTTTTCGACCTTAAAGCGACATTCGACTCTGTTGATCTCGAGGTTCTGTGGCAGTGCCTGTCATTAAAAGGTGTACTAAAGAAGTACATTAACCTTATAAAAGCTCTCTACTCAAACACCACTGGTCGGGTAAGAGCTTATGACGAACTGTCATCGAAATTCTCCAACTTCTAGTGGTGTCCGTCAGGGCTGTCCACTTTGTCGTAGATACGCTTCTAGAGTTAACATTATCATCGTCTGACGCTTCAGTAATGGACCAACTATCAGGAGACACGCTTGCTAACTTAGAGCATGCTGATGACATAGTCCTATTAGGTGAAGACGCTGACAAAATGCAGTCTTCTGACTAACCTGAGCAACAATGCAAGCATGTATGGTATGCGGTTTTCCCCCTCGAAATACAAAATTTTGCTTCAAGATTGGGTTGCATCGGCACCTGAACTAGTCATAGGGTCTAATCAGTGCTGATGGCCTGTTGACTGACGAAATCTCAGCACGGATAAAGACTCGACTGGCTTTTGCGAAGTTGCGTCACTTATGGCGCAGGTGAGATATACGTTCAATAGATGAAGTAGTGAAACTTCATCAGTTGAGGTAGTTGTGGCATGTGTTACGTATGACTAACCACCGACTGCCGCGATAAGCCACGTTTAGTGGTGTAGGAGTAGGTTAGAAGAAACCTAGAGGCGGCCAAATCAAAACATGGCACAAATCCATGAAACCACTGACAAGTGGACTGAGTCATGCCGGAAGATGTAGGTTAACTTGTCGGGGTTTGCGAGACGTAAGTCACCAGTGGTTAGAGACCCTGAACGACGTAACTCAAAATCGTTTGCAGTGGCGCAGACGCATCCAGTCGTTGTGTCCTCTCAAATTCTAACCTTCTGAATTCCTCATCATCTCTATCTTTCTCTTTTTAAATTTATCTCACCGAATCATACCCTAATCTTCTCCATTACTGCTAATACTTCTACTATCATACCACTATGGGATTTGAACTGACCGTTGTGTCTCTGTGCTGATGCGGTATGGTAGCCTGAAGTGATGTACATACGTACGAAGTTCTGTGTTGTATCTGTCTGTCTGTATACATATGAACCAATTCTAAAGGAAAAAACGTACAGTGAAAGTAACTTCTATATGAAGGGGGTGATGTAGATATTATTGAGCAATAAAAATTGAACACTATCACAAATATCAGCGAGTTTACTAACACGTATTAGTAGAAATAAAATTGCAGTGCCTTATTCTTTGAGAAGCCGGAAAGGAAGTGGAAAGCTTAAAAAGCCAGTAAAACAAGCAACGGTTAGCACTAAATAACAAGTAAGACAGATAATTGAAAGAAACTACTTTAAATTGGTGTCAAGTGTTTGAAGAAATAATATCACCGACTGATGTAAAACATTGTCTGCACTTGAAATTAAGCTGATTCCGATGTTGTAGAGCTCATTTGATTCATGCAGTATGCAGAATTCGGGCACATATACAAAAACGTTTAAGAAAACTCAAACCAGTAGTTTCCTTTTGTTTACTTTAAATGTATCTACCATAATCTACCAAAACAGCTTGATGATAGGAGTAAAATAATTCCGATTCTAACTTCCTTGACTTATGAAATCAAACAACCATTTATTCTCTTGCTCACCCACTAGCTTACATCGTTGCCAAACTTTCACCACAGAATTTAT